AACTCTTCATCGGTGTTCATACAGTCGGCGCTTGGAGGGTTGAAAGGAAAGAAACTAAGGCCTGTCTGGTTTAAATGTAAGCTCAATATTTGAATCCATGGTATGAATTGTTAAACTAAGTTGTATACGCGTGGGCTACAATCGGGTACAAGAAAAGAAAAAAAAAAACGCGGCTTTTTGCCTTCAATGATCCTCCTCCAGCCAATCGCGTCGCCGCGCCATCACGACGTTGCTGCTGACCACAGCACTCACGCGAGGAAACAAGAAGCATGGGCATTCTGCATGCACAGACCGCAACCCAAACGAGCGCCTCTGCTGTTCGCGACTGCCCATCGGCGTCGTCAGTGAAATCGCACTCTCGAAAGCTGACTTTAGTGCCGTTCATCTGAACTTGATTTCCACGGAAAGCATTGTTTGTGGCTTTGTGTGTTCGGCAACGACGATCGCCGTAGTGTTTAGTTTGCTACATAAGCGTCCAGCGCTGCCTAGAAGCAACGGCCGATATTAGTGCCATTGATTGGTGCTCCAATACCCGGTGTGATACAAAGCTGTTGTCATCATCCTCTGAGGGCGTTTTGTCTTGAGCGTAAAGTGTTGCGCGTTCTGTCGTTTTGTTTCTCCTGTCATTGTGGTGTGCGATGCTTCCCACGCCTGTTGTCAGACCAGTGTCTGCGATAGGTGGCGATAACTGCTTTTTGATTTATCATTGATTACGCTAGAAGGTTGTTAAAATATTATGATTGTGCAGAGCCCATGACGTTAGTGGGTGGCTCTCACTTATTGCTCCCACGAAACTGATGACTGTCCGGTTTTATAGTATCTCAATGTGTGATTGCTTCCTCACTCATCGTTCATCGCTCGTCGGCGTTCAATTGCGCCTGTGTCTGCGCAGGCGCTGACTTAAACGATGTCGCTGTGGTTGCATTTCACTATTCCAGCTGACCAATAATATATTACACGTGTTGTATTCTAAATGAGAAATAAAAGAAACTTTTCTAAAAATTCATCTCCGCTCAAAACGAAGCTTTCCCGGGGAACTTCTACACGGCGTGAACAACTGCGGCGTGAACACACCTGTAGAGGTTTGGGTACAAGTGGTGCCTGTAGGCGCGAAGCGGTCGGCTGCCGCGTCATGGTGACCCTGTGATGACATTAGCCGGAGGGGGCTTTTCGACGACTAAAAACCGCTTTTAAAGAAGCTCTGAAACACTTCTTTGAGTAACCATAAAATCAATTCACTGGAAAAGCACATTTCCTCACAAGTTCAACACCGCAACATTTTAAGAACCCGTCCAGTACGAGTGGAGATACAAAGATTTGTCACATGCTGCAATCACATTCTCTGTTCTCTTGTCCTGACGAAAGCACTGGAAGCTAAGCAGGAAGAGATGGGAGGGGCAAACAAAAAACGTCATGTGCGCCTCGTGACCTTCAGCACTTTTTTCTGCGAATGCGCGGCTTTTCCAGTGCGATCGCACGCGCACTCGTGGACAAGTAGCGGCCTCCCGCGCTGATCTCTGTAACGAGCGAGCGCGCCATGTTCAAATCAGCCAATGGCAGATAGAAGGGCTGACTACGAGTGATTTTTGGGCTTATTGCGTAATTTCTCGAGAGAAGAGAAAGCAATTTTTAGCTGACTTCGATATTTTATTGTGAATTCCAGGCCGCCTGCTGCGCTATAATATTTGGCTCGCGTTTTGTCGGGAGCCTGTGCTACCGATCTGCAGCATTTTCTGAGCATGCTCAAAAAGTGTTGCAAGGCCCATTTAAGTACCGTCGGCGTGCATACAGGACGCGTGTGATTGTGAAGCATGGAAGCTACTTTCACTGCATTTCAAAGCAGAGAAAGTTCTTTTCTCTCTTTTCTCAAGTAGAGGCGTGACTGTGTGGTAGACCATCCGCTTGCCACGCAAACGACGCAGGTTCGATCCCCACTCGAACCCTGGTTTGGTCCTCGCTCTGCTCCAGGATTTTCTGTCATTTATTTTAGGAGCGAAGCTCCTTAAGGCGTGCCCCGATTGTCCTCTGTAGTAACCACCTCTCCTGAGTTCTTGAACAAGCCATAGATGGTGCTACTGGTACTATATAACGAATGCATATACGCTCAAAAACGCAAATGGTCCGACTCAAGAAAAGACAAGAATGAAAGGGGAATCTTATGAAAAGAAAATTTTCGTCACACGTACGGAAAGGAGAGAGAGAGGGAGACGATTGAACGACTGTGATCGCATGTTCTGCCGTACGCCAGATAGCAAAATAGAAGCGCCGTTCAGGCACGTGCGCGTTCAGAGGGTCGGCGGATGGACAAGGCTGCTGAGCGGCGTGCGCACAGGGCGGCGGCGGCTCGCGCTCGAAGAAGAAACCCCTATGTGGGGGCGCGCGAGGCAGAAGCGTTCCCGAAGCCGTGCGGCGTTGCTTTAGATCCCGATGTACGAGCGCGGGAGGCCGAAGCGGCGTGGTAGTGGCACCCGCCAGGCCGCACGAGAAGCTGTACCTGGCACCCAATCTTCCAATCGAAGACGTCAAAAAGTTGAACGACCAGGACATGCACATATATGACAGGCCGAGACTGTTCCTGCTCGTCGGCCACTTCAACATCGCCGTATCAGACCCGAACAAGCATTGGTTGATGCAATACATGACGAGCAGGTACGGACTTAGGTGCATCTCCTTCGATTACCCCGATCACAAGACGATCATTAGGGGAATCTGCATTGACGTCGGGTTTGCAAGCTTTCACGTACAACCAGTGCAATAACCGCGTTCGGTGAATTTCACCGACCAAAAGGTGGTCATATCGAAGATAAAACGAAAAGCGGAATTAAGAAACGACATTGTTCAATAAACACTGTTTAATGACGTTTTACTCACAAGTTTCATTTAGGTGTGGGGCGAGGTATCTTAAATAGCAAAAGCTTCGCCCTATTCTTGGTCATTCACCCCGTGGATATTCCATCATTTTTTTAATCGTTCTCAATTTTTCAGTCACGCATAAGATGATGATTTTTCGCTCACAGCCAACGACGCCGACATCAACGCCGATGCCGGAATTTCTGCGAAACGAGCTCTTTAACGCTATCGCGTTGATATGCGGGTTTTTACATCCCAATACCACAATATGATTATGAGACACCATAGTAGAGGGCTTTAACATGCACCGACATCGCACAGTACACGGGGCTCCTTCCATTTCGCCTCCATCGAAATGCAACTACCATGGCCAGGATCAAACCCGCAACCTCCCGGTCAACAGTTGAGCACGGGCTCAAAAACAAAAAAAACCTCTCTGTCTGTAATGTTTGTAAACTGTAAGAGAGAAAGAGAGAGAGAGATGAAAAGTAAGAAGGTTAACTGAAGTGATATCCCCGCTTGGTTTTCTAGCCCTTTCTGCATAATTCTTATCTTCCCGGGAAAATATCGACTACAGGCACGTTGTCACACTTGCATATATCCAAGGCTGTGAGAATAAAACTCACCGCTCCTTCATAATTGTTCCCGAAAGCAACCGATACAATATTCGGATAACGTGCACCTATATGCTAAAGAGAGAATGGAAGGATAACTTGGAATTGGGCAAAAAACACCAGCCTAAAAACTAGAACGCACGAGCTTGAACAATTTTTTTTGTAATCAACTCGAAGCAAGAGCAAGTACAAATAAACTGGCGCTACATATTAGGGTTTTATATGCGAAGCGCCTTATGGTCGAGGTCAATCTGGTGTGCGGCGTGACCACCCTTGCAGCGCATGCACGCCCTTCCCCTTTCCTCTCCTACACTCTCTCTCTCTAATTTCTCAATGCCAACGCAGGCAGTGTGATACGCGTGTGGTTTCCCCACTCTCTCCGCTCGTACGCTCGCCCTATCCCGCATTGCAATGCTGAAGCAGGCAGCGTATGCTAGCAAGTTTAACGCGATAGCGTTAAAAAGCTCGTGTCGCAGAAAACCCGTCGCCGGCGTCAGCCCCGTTGCTGGTGAGTGAAAAATCGTTCGTGCGTCTGTGACCGAAAAATCAAGTTACCGAGACAGCCGTGAGAGGCCGCGACTTGTCCATGCGTGCGCGCGCGATCACACTGAGCAAGCCGCGCATTCGAAGAAAAAAAGTGCTCAAGTTCACGAGGCGTGGTAGTTTTTTTTTTTTTTTTTGCCCTGCCACCCCTCCCTTCTTAGCTTCCAGTGTTTTCGTCGGGACGAGAGAAGAAATAGTGCAATTTCAGCATGTGAGAAACCTTTGTAACTCCACTCGCACTGGAGGAATTTTTAAAAATTTTGCGGTGTTGAATTCGTGAGGCAATAAGCTCTTCTAGTGAATTCATTCCATAGTTACTTGAAGAAGTGTTTCGGGGCCCCTTTAACGCATTTTGTTCGACAGGTGTCACGACTAAAATGAGCCCCTTTGACGATATTACCGCGCACTGGTCCAATCTACCGTGTGCGTGTTTGTGTGCGGGCGTGTTTATGTAACAAAACATAGGAATAAGTATGCACTTAGCCGTCGAAGGGCGCACTTGGAGCCAGTTTTCGCTATCGCGTTCAACTCTTAAAGGCGAAGCTTAAGGGTCCCCATAATTTTTTTATTAAAGAGAGCTAGTGCTCGCGCTGTGCAACCGCTGCCATCCCGTATATATAAGCACCGAATCTTGACCTCCAAGGTAGTGCCGGTAGGAGATTTCTCGTGTGCGTTGTTGAACAATAAAAGTGTGCAGCCTGCGCGTTATCTGAAAGCGGATTGTAGATCTCTGTGTCAAATCGGGGTCTTCTGTCTCTCATTGCTCATAAGCAGTGATTGGCGTCATCTGGTAGGAAACACAGGTCCATCACTGTGTGCTTTGCGCCTCACCGGGTATTTCTCCCGCGCAGAGCAGCGAGGAGCGCCAGCGTCAACGTCGCCGCAAGTGTAAGAGTTAGCGCCTGCTGTTTCGCATCTAGACATGTTTCCCTTTAGCAGGAGATGTATATTTTTTCAACAATCAATTGTAAATAATTTATCACCTTTCTGCAGCCGGAAACCCGAACGAGGTGGTCAGAGTGCGGAACGTGGACATGTACGTGACGTACAACGCGGAGAATCACTTCACGAGAGGATTCGCCCGGACTAAATCACAAAAACCAGCCCCTGTCCTTCGGCGGGGGCAGTCCTTCACAATAGTCATCAACTTCAACAGACCCTTCAACCCGGAAACGGACTCGTTGTCCCTCTTCTTTGGCGTCGAAGGTAAGCAAGTAGAATAAACAATAAGTTTCATTCATCGAAGAACAATATAGGTGGTAGGAAAGCAATGATCTGTTAGTTTTGTACCAGAGTTTAATTTACAAAACTTCTTCTTCATGCCAGCTGTTTTCGTTCACAAGCCGACTTCGCTAATAATATCTATGACGTCGCCATTACATGGCAGCTGCTCTTATACCCAGATTTCGCGTTGGGGATTTTTTTTATGGATACGGGCCCCACTTTTAGCACCACCTTGAGGTTAGAAACAATTCGACTCAAATACATGTGTAACGCTTCCCATCGTAGTAAAATAGCCGACGTGAATTCAGTATTTTTTATAAAACTGCCCTGCTGAACGCCTCGCGAAACTATTCTCTCTCCCAGGGTACGCCATAAATGCATAAAGAGCATCTTCGCAAACAAACTAAGAAACATAGAAACACACTAACTAGCTAAGAAACAAACAGGCAAACAAACAAACTAACTAACTAAACTAATTCTGAAACAAAAGAAGGGGAATATTTCCGAGAAGCTCATTTCTCAGTTAGACACAACCAAGCGAATTAAATTGACCTTTATACCACGGAAAACATATCGTACAATAATTATTGTCGTTCACTATCGTGTAGTAATTATGACGTAAATGAAAAAAATATCAACAAAAAACCCACCTTCCGGTCTGTGTAATGTGACCCCACAACCTTTGAGTTAAAAGGTTGTGGGTTCGGATTTGTTGTAACCACTTTGTTGTAACTAACTAAAAAAGAGTACGAAAGCCAAAAAAGTAGAACGTGTACAGAACTGTGGAATAATTTCTAAAGCATTTTTTATAACTTCTGTTCATCGCCAACAGTCCTTTAAACTATTAAACGTGCAACATTAGATCAGGCTGGCATTTTCCATTGGCCTACCTGTTTTTCTAATAATATGTGCCTACGGCTAGACGCACAGTAAGAATGTTTTCGGTGGGAGAGAGGGGGGGAGGGCTTCTCCTTCATCTGAATTGGGGGCCGGGCATGCAAATGTGGTCGAGTGTCATTTTGTGCTCTGTATTCCAAAGATTAAAAAATCGCGGGGGGCACGGGATCCGTGTGCCACCTCCTGGGTATACGTCACAACCTGTAGCATCAGATTTCACTGAAATTTACTCTTAACAACAAATGGCGGAAGGCCTTTGTGAATACAAAGCCGCATGCGGATTACCAATGCGGAAAGAAGTTAAGAACAAAATGTTTTGTGAAATAAACTTCTTGGCAGTATTTACAAAGAAAAAAAGCTTTTATTCTAGAAGTGTTCTTATTGAAGAAGTCAAGCCAATACTGATGCTGTACATTCGCATGAGCTGCCATCCAACATGTAATTACAAATTCTATGACAAGTAGCGTGAAGACATCGTTAATTTGCCCCCTGGTTTACGGTTCGTCAGTGCGAGACCCAAATTAAAAGCAACCATTTTTTAGGCCAAGTAGTGTCGTTTTGCTGCATGCACGAATGTATAGGCTTAGCCAACTATTATGTGAATGTTCTATTACTGTTTTAGGTGGTGGTCAACTATTTGAGACAATCGCGAACACCTTTTCACACAATTGCCATAAATCAACCCTGTGCAGGCGAGAATCGTACAACCTACTCGAAGGGTGCGACGGCCTTGGTCCCAGTGGATTTTAGAAGTGCAGAGGCTTTGTCGTCAGGTACCTGGAGTGCCGTGGTGAGGAAGTCGGAGGAAAAGGCCCTGCTTATCGAGGTATGAACTCAGAAGGCGACTCTTCAGGCTTCCCAGTTTTGTTTTGTGGCGCTAGCCTGCAGATAGCGCAGTGGCTGACAACTCGTGACCCCAAAATGTACCCTGAAAAGAACAAGGCAATTTTGATTTAAAAATGTTTATAAACAATTAGTAATAGTTGTATAAAATTGAAAAGTCATTGAGAAATACGTGAACTGAAGAAAAAACCTAGTTATTCACGTGGGTAATTGACTAAAACCCAATTAAAAGGGCCAGACACGCCTAATAAAGCACAAAAAAAAAAGCTGCCTCTACGTCTCGGTAGAGAAACAGCGGGCTATGGCGAAAGACGAAGAGAGACAAATAACTTTCGTTTACGCTCGTCCTTCTTCTCTTTCTTCGCCTTTGCACGCTGTTGTCCTTCCATGTATGTATCCACTATAGCCCAGTCTTCGCGCGGTTGCCTGTCGGTCCACCGTAAGTAAAAATAGGAACCTTCTGGTACAACGAGTTTGGGAAGGTTGAGAAGATTCGTATCTCAGGTAGCGTGTTTCAGAAAATTTTGTTCTAATTCTAAATCCCCTGACATTGTATATATATATATATATATATATATAATCACTGTATTACTGTAATCCCCGCACGATGACGTAGATAGCCCAAATCCGCAGTAAGCATGCGCAAAATTTCTATCGCAATAATACAAGCTGCTTTACCACTAACAAAACAAAGGGGTTTTGACGGCCAAATTTTGCTTGCATGCTTTTTCAAGATGTCAACAAGTTCTTCTTTTTCTTCCCATTATTATTATTATTATTATTATTATTATTATTATTATTATTATTATTATTATTATTATTATTATTATTATTATTATTATTATTATTATTATTATTATTATTATTATTATACGCATAAAGCGTGACAACTGACTACAGTTTCGCGAGGTACTCCACAAAAGAGATGTGAGAAATTGACTAATATAAGTGGAATATGTACATACGCGGTAAATTAATCTAATGAAAGAATTGCAGCAATTGTATCCATGCCAAAATTCCTTTCCTTGGATTTTTTCTCTGAACCTGATGTCAGATTTATTGAGGAGATCAGTAGGTGCCTATGCACGTTATGTTGTTTATATATGGGCTCTTGTAAAGGGTAGTCGAGTCGATATCACTGGTTAACCTGCTTGCCCCTCTTTGTGTGTCTGTTATGCTTCAATACATGAAGATTTTGATACACCTTAGCATTGCGTTCTTGCTTCCGTTTGTTGCGAATGGGCCCGAAGTACAGTCTCAACGTAAAAAGATTGGCACAAGGAACCGGAGCGACAAGATGGTGACATGCAGCGCCGGTTTTTTTTTCCTAATGCACCGATATCGAGAGTGACAAGCACACTTCATATTTCATAGCAGGGGGGAAGCACTCTAATAAGCAGCGTTTTCTGGGCAGCTGCGATAAAGATGTGATTGCTCACAACTTCAGCAAATATAGAGCAGAAACAAACAAAAAAAAAAGGATATCACTTGCATACCCACATCTTCCTATAAGCAATGAACAAGCGTTTCGTTAAGATGTGGGCTTTCGGATGGGCCTACCGCAAGAGGGGCTGCCTACCGCCGGTCTACCGACCACCCATGCTTTGGAAATGGAATATGCTTGGCAGTCTCGTTGGTCTCGCTATTGGCGTGCTCATGAACAACAGCACCGCGTGTCGCAATTTTGTGGCTCCAGCGACAGTTCGTTTGTGCTAATCTATTTCCGTTGAGACTGTACCTTGAGACGCAGCAGCACTGCCGCCGTTCTCTCTTCCGCAGGTTATGACACCGGCAACCTGCATCGTTGGATCATGGATCATGGATGTCGACACCAAGATGCGCAACGTGGTGGAATCTGTGGGCGCCCGTTACACCTACCCGGACCCCATCTACATTCTCTTCAACCCGTGGTGCAAAGGTGATACGAGGCTTGGAGTGTCACACGCCAACGCAATGGGAATTTGTCTAACTAGGAACGTCACTGGAGCCTAGGTTTCGACAGCAAGGCTTGCACTCGTCATGGCGCAAACTGCAGCAATAAAATTACTTGCTGCTCCGACGAAGTGAACTCACTTCGTCAAAAGGCTCACGAGGCATTCTTCGTTCGATGACTTCTTGTCGCTTTAGGCCTTCACCTTCTCCGGAAGTCACTATATGTCTACTTTAAATTTCCGAGGGAAGCAGTCACAAAACTTGTGCAACTGCAAAAGGTTGACCCAGTGGCCTATAAGCATGTGAACAAATTTTGGATCTGTTACCACATGTTTCTCACCTAGTTGGGCCGTACAGCTTGCGGTGGAAAGGACACACAAAAAAAAAACGAACGTAGGAAATGACCAGCTAAAAAAAAAACATCACTTTACTAGTAGGACCGACTCATGTAATAATGAATACGTAGCAGTTGCCGATGGTATAAAAAGAAGTTATTTAACTGCGAGCCTATTCTAGAGGAAGACAGCGAAAAATTGTTTGGTGCTTGGGGGGGGGGGGGCAATCATCCTATGGGTAATATAAACACCTCTCTCATTGCGTGGCGCTGTACTCCTATTAACTAATAGGCTTAGTCATCTTTGCGTTCTTTGCGAATTCATAGACAAATTTTCGGAGATTGTGCACTAAGTGAAGCTAATGAACGACTGTTTATCGTTCAATCGCTGACCTGCATACGGCCAGTATAAGCTCAACCACAAACGACCAAACTGGCCGTTGTCTATAAAGTTTCTCTAATTTGTGATATCATTCATATTCGCAAAACGAGCCTCTGCTTTAACGAAGGAGCGAAAGAGGGAGAGCGTTCAATGAAGAACAAAATTACGAAATCTTTACGTATGCACTATGCTTCCTAGACATGCATTCACCGAGTAGTGCCCCCGCCCTCGCCAAATGGCAATTTGTGCCAGCGTTCAGTTATAAATCATTTTATAGCGCAAATAAAGATGATATTTGTATCAGTGTGAATACTGTAGCCCCGGGATCAACGTAAATTCTTGACATGTTGTAATTATTAAAAGCACATGGTATAATTCAATATATTTTTCAATATGATTTGTTATTGTCGCGAAAATGTTTGTGCACGCTGACACACTTGGTATATAGGACTGACACCTACCCATAAAATAAAGTTAGTTCCAATCATATGCGTCACTGTCATATTGTTTCCTTATTTTTTCCCGTATTTTCGGTTTTGGTGACTTAAGAGTTAAATATTATCACAAATAAATGATGTCCGGGAGCTCTTTTGAAGACGTCGTTTCCAGAGAGCCATAAAATCACCACGTCTGCACGTAGTTATTAAGACGTTTTCGAAGTAGTTACTTATACTACATAACTTGGCTCATTAAGTTTACGCGAGAACTGTATACATCCCTTAGCTTGTGGGTACTAAGTGCGCCTTAAAAACAAATGCCTTAAAAATATATTTGAAACTACGAATTAACAGGAAGCCCACGCAAAAGAAAGCGAACAAGTGAAACTTCAGGCACACAAGCTGGCAAGGCATTGGATACAATATAACACACGAGGAAGGATGCAAAACAATTTATGCGTGTATATTGTTTATTTATTTGGTTTTATACGCAGAGGACCTTGTATACATGGAGAATCCCGAAGCAAGATTTGAGTACGTGCTTGCTCACAGTGGCATCATCTGGCGTGGAACAATGAAATTAATGAAGCCAAGCCCTTGGAAGTATGGACATGTGAGTGGACGCTATGGCAAAAGTCATATTGATTGTTTCTAACCTTTCGCGTGTGAAATCTTTATATGGATTGACATACTGCACCCTCTTCGAAATAATACAGAGACATGCTAATGAATGAATTAAAGGCAGGTCCTAACTTCTCCCGCCTTAGTAGCTGGTGCAGCCGTTCTTGAGAAGCTTTAAAAGAACGGCGCAATCACCCAGCTCTTACGATACTTGTTGCAAATTGCAGTTTGAAGAGAATGTCTTGGAATGCTGCGTCTATCTGCTGAGAAACGTTGGCAACCTTCCTCTGCAAGCCTGTGCAGATCCTGTGCTTGTTGCTCGCCACATTTCTGCCGCCGTAAGTATTTTCATTCGATTAATAAGATTTCGAGCACTAACCAACCTAGAAATACGGAGTCTAGAAAAAAGGGCTCTTTTTTTTGCTAACTTGTAAACTCTCAAGTTATCTATTGTGTGTAACCGCTTCTACGTGCTGGTGCATAACTCAAACAGCGATACCAACTCGCAATGTTTAAACAAGGTAGATGTTCAGGGTATAGTGGAGGCTGGAAGAGATGCGCACTCTTAAACATGGAAAGCGAACGTTTCTACAACTGGTTTTGCCTTCTTCAGCATTGCTACCTTGAACAAGAAAGCACCACTAGGCAAAGTGGTGGCTCCAGCGACATCCCCGGTTCAAGAATATACATGTCACCAATGTAATGTGTTATTTATTACTTCAGCGTAATGACTATTTTCTGTGGAGCAGAAATCGTGAGAGTTCTGTCTCATCTCTGTGATGAATAACATTTCGTAAGTTTTATTGCGGTACAAAGAGTGGGGTCAATTATGATGAGGAAAGCATAAAAGGATGAGCGGAAATTTTCATTTCTGTCCTAGTGATTCACGCCAAACACCATTGCCCCTGGTAAACCATAACAAAGCACAAGAAGGCAGATATTGCTGCGATAGTGGATTTAGTTTTATACACAAGCTGGGAAAATGAGAAGACTTAGCTATAGCGCAAGAAAGCTGGCCTTCGTTCGAAGGTTCGTACCGGTACAGCGTTGTTCGCGCGTGAACGAAAACACTGAGTACTACTCACTGTTGCAGGTGAACTCATCAGACGACCAGGGTGTGGTCACTGGAAATTGGACCTCGAACTACTCTGGTGGCGTGCCTCCGGTCTCCTGGACTGGCAGCCACCCTATCCTCCAACAGTACTATAAGACCAAACGGCCTGTCAAATTTGGACAGTGCTGGGTCTTTGCTGGTGTCACTACCGCTGGTGAGGTGCACATTCGGGTTCACTCGTGTTGACTTATCTAAAAGCATTTAGGTGTCGCACTCGCACCAACATCGACAACGTAAGGCAGCGTCATAAACAAGCAGTCACCGGTTATTGCGTGAAAAACTTCTGCTGCACGTCGTCAGCGGTGAACTGACTGGTCACGGCTCTACGCACTGACTTCACAGCACGTCGACAATTCTGAGTGTGGTACGCAGCAATGGAACGTCGTCCTTAATAAACGATGGATTTATGGTGCGCCCGCCGAGCTGTATCGCTCGAAGCGTGGCTGCGAGTACTGAACTACGGCCGCTTATGAATGCTGTCATGCAGTTTTATTTCATTATTCCCTAGATGTCCCTAAACACATGGAAAAGCCACACATGTTGTACGTCGCCCTGAAAAGTTTGGTCGGTCGTTTTGCAAATACCCTCTCGTAACGTTAAAAGTCCTGTATAAAAATTAATTTGACCGATATTGTGCAAAACACTTCTTAAACTCGGCCACTTCAGTGCATGCGTGTGCCCGTCATTTATGACTGATAAAACAACAATAATGCTAAATCAACAAATTCTGATGTATATTATCTTCGCAGTCTGCCGGGCACTGGGCCTTCCGGCGAGAACAGTGACCACCTACCACTCAGCCCATGACACACAGGGTAGTGCGACAGTGGACCAGTTCTACGACGAAAATGGCAAACCCGTGGATAAACTCAATACTGACTCTATCTGGTAAGATTTTACAACAATACCCACAACTTATCTTGTATAGCGCTACGGAAAACTGAGCTACTTGGTAAAGTATCGTCATGAAAGAAAATACAAAAACATGGATGGGCACACGAAAAGAGTAAACATGTCTTTTGACCAGTGCTGGTTGGTGAAGATTGATTGATAGATATGTGGGGGTTAACGTCCCAAAACCACCATATGAATATGAGAGACGCCGTAGTGGAGGGCTCCGGAAATTTCGACCATCTGGGGTTCTTTAACGTGCACCCAAATCTGAGCTCACGGGACTAAAGCATTTCCGCCTCCATCGGAAATGCAGCCGCCGCAGCCGGGATTCGATCCCGCGACCTGCGCGTCAGTAGCCGAGTACCTTAGCCACTAGACCACCGCGGCGGTGCTTGGTGAATATTCATAATAGCGTGTTACGCACTCTGAAGCACGAACGAAGGAGGGACACGCGAAGACGAAAGCTGGCTAACAACTGAATTTTATTTCGATGGAACGCGTGCATATATGCGTACGGTATAGCACATGTGTGAGTACATGCTATAGAAAACGTGCTCTGACAATGATAAGTTATCATTAATGTCACTCAGCGAACAGTCTTGCATGCATTTCTTAACGTATGCCTTCCAACCTAGGCCAGAGGGCGCTGCACCACGCGTGTTTCGCACTGTTTCTAGCAAAAGCCGGTCGCTCGGTACGTAGCTCCCGCCTTCTGCCTGTGCTCTCTCAGCACGTTCAAGCGCTCTGCACGCGCTGTTATCTGGTCGCCCTCCACGTGCAACGTCACCTGTGACTTGCTCTGAAGGTTTCAAAAGATTATAAAAACGTTTTCACGGTGTGAATCGCACAAAAATTGAGAGGGATTCATTGATAACATTTGCGGGACCAAGCAAGTTGAACGTGATGTCTTTGAGCGAGTGCTATGTGCATGTCGATGGTGAACAGCCACCTTTCTATTACATTAAATGTGAGGTGACGGTGCGAATTATATATGCATGTCACCGGTAAAACGAGCATTTGCTGCGGCAGTTGTGTCTTCTCGGAGCTGTCGGCAAACCACTACCAAGCTTTCGCGTGTGTTTGTATATGGCTTTCGGATTTCGATTGCTTGAGTGCCAAGTTTGTCGCGCAACTTGAATTTTTTTAGGGGGTCAGCGAAAGAGACAGAACTTACGTCTGCTTTGTTGAGTTCCTGACCCCGTTGCAATACGCAGTGTTCCATTTCATAAGAGTTTTACATTAGCTCAGGCTTTCATAGGATGTTAACAACGTCGTATCGGGAGGTCAATGCCACATTGCCTTTTTCACAGTTGCTTTGAAAGCATAACGATGCACAAAAAAAAATATTTTATGTCCACTTCGACCATGCATTTTTCCTTGTGCGCATGTTTCATTTCGGATGAATATCCACGCCTGATCACGCAGCGTGTTTACCGATTCGAATGTCAATATCGTTGTTTTGACAGCTCGCTTGGTCTTCATCATAATATACGATACCCGCAAGGATCAAGCATGTATTTAGTTACACCGAGATTCACCCCAGACAACCGCGTCTAATTTCACGAAACCATTCAAAATTTTATTGCTGCCTTGTTTTTTTTTTCTCAACTCGTTTCCATAGAGGCAGCTGTATATCGCCTGCAGCTAGGGTGCATGCAAAGATATAATATTTTACGGGCTAAAACCATGATATCCTTAAGAGGCATGCCATGATGTGAAACTCCAGATTAATTCCGCCCTCCTAAGGTTTTTTAACGTGCACCTAAATCTATTTGAAGTGTAAAGCACGACGACGACAACGGAGAGACGGCGGACACCCACCAAGTGCCACTTCTGCTTAATCCCACCGTACGCTTCAAATATACAAAACCAACACGCCCTGCCTGCCATTCTTGCATCGTAATCTAAGCGCACTGTTACTACGTTGAGCTTCCATAGAAATGCAGCTGGTGTAGACGGGAATCGAACTCACGTCTTTGATCCTAGCAACTCGACACCTCAGCCTGCTAACTTATCGGTAGGTGTTGCTTGAAAGAACTGTACGTATAAACGCTCAGCGCAAACACGCAGCACAAATCTGTAGACACTGAGCGGCGACGAGAAGTCTACAGCCATCAGCTGAATAAAACACTTGCAGGGCTCACAGTACGGTATTTTAACAGTGGTGTATTAAGCTAGCAATCTCAGCCACACTTGCGTTATAAAAATGGTTGTCTCGGAAAGCCGGTGCCCGATCTCGAATTGTACAGCAGTTGTCTATTTGCTGTAACTTCAGTTTACAAACGCCCTTGTTTTTCATATGAGTCCAGCCATCATGTCTCTCCCCGTTAGTAGTTGGTAATACTGTGCGCGATAAAAGATTCTTCAAAGTGTCAAGACCCCGGAAGCATCGACGAACTGCCACAATCCACTCTTGATGCCTTTGCTCCTCGCACTGCTTGCATTGGAAACAGTAGAACTTCAGGGGTAGTTTTCAGGTCTCAGACAATTTTTAAACTTTTGTATCAGCTCACAATGCAGTAGGAGTTTGTACCTGCTTCCCAGGATGACGAAGGAGCGGTGTCTATAGCGTGTGCAAAATGCAATATAAAAGCCCCAAGGAACAAGTTTTTTGTGCACGCAATGGGAAAACCAAGCAATTGTAGCCCATTCGAGTGACCAGAGCTTTGCCCTCTATCCACTAGGGCGACGAATGGCGCTGCGCAAACTTGAGCCTGTCTTCCCTATTGAGTGACATCAATGATAACTTGTTATTGTCAAAGGACGTTTTTTTACGACATGTACTCACGCATCTGCGATTCTGTATGTATACATACACGTGTCTTCCATGGAAATAAAATTCAGTTGCTAGCACTTGTATTCGTGTGCCCCTTTTTCATACGTCAGAGAGAGTGTGCTGTAAGCTATTACGGACAAGGGGTGGAAACAATACAAACGGCACTTCTTGAGCTATTCTCTTGTGCTCTAAATAGTGCTCATTATGTTCATTTGGGATGAAACATTGCAGGTCGTCGTTCTGTCACCCTAATCGAAGGTTAGTCGCTTGAATGCAAGTCGCAAACCAAACTTTTGTTGCCATGATAACAAAAATTAAAAAAAAACACGCACAGAGTGGATGGTTGTAGCACACGTACACATAAAAGTTGGGGAAAAATTATTGTATCATTAATTGCAAGCAAGCTTAGAATATTCAGCAACTGCAGCAGCAAGATTCATGCAAGTTTTCTCGTGAGAACGCATATTTGGTTGCGCACTAAAATACTGTGACGAGGACTTGGCTTACAGGACAGCGTCCACCGAGAATCAGCAGCCGAACAAGATGTCTGAGTTGAGTCAAGAGACTCACGTTGAGTGTATTTATTAGCGACGGCGACAACAGTGTGATCAAGGGCGACGTCTCGGGCCATCAGTACGTCGACTATAGGAGTGACGAGGTAGTCACCGTCGGGCACATGACGTGAGCACGACAAAGTGACATATGTAGCAGCTTGCGGAGGCAAGCGAACGTGGTGACGAGAGCATAAACGGGGAGAATAATCTGCTGGAAAATCGGCAAACTGCGGCAGTTCAAGCTGGAGAGCACCAGTGGCACAATCATTGAGCGCAGAATGCCGTGACAGGAAGTCCAAACCAAGTATTAGGTCATGAGGACACATTTCAATGACGGCAAACTGAACTAATGTAGGATGACCGGCAATGGACACACGGGCTGTGCACATCCCTTGAACATCAGGGGTCCTCCCATCAGCGACACAAAGTTTGTGGGAAGCGGCAGGCGTGAGCACTTTATGTAGGCGTCGGCGAAGGTTCGCGCTCATTACAGAAATATGCGCTCCAGTATCTATAAGGGCAAAAATAGCCACACCGTCAACGGCAACGTCTAACAAATTTTGTCTCGTCGGAAGCGTCAAGAGAGGATTTGTGGAGGGAGTCGAAAATGCAGCGTCACCTCCGGGCGCTGCACCGTTTAGTTTTCCGGGTAGGCAGGAGCGGGGTTGAATGGGGACGACGGCCTGCGAGTCTGCGGTGAGCGAGACGACTGGCGACGTCCTGGAGGTGAACGCGACTGATGACCATGCGGTGACGGAGATCGGCTGTTGAACCTTCTGTAGTTGTTTTGCGGAGAAGGCTGCGCGGCAGATGCGAAGCGGGTGCTGTCCTGTCGGTAGTGAGGCTGAGATGAAGTCCGAGGTGGCGAGGACCAGCGGTAATTGCAGTAACGGACGACATGACCGATACGGTGGCAATGAAAACAAATTGGTCGATTGTCGACGGTTCTCCACGCAGCAGGGTCGCGAGATCGGGCCGTAAACTGCTGCTTGTGATAGGACGAGGGTGGACGCCATGAAGCTCGCTGCGGGCTGGGCAAAGCGCACACCGAGGGAATACCTATGCTGGCGAGTTCTTGGCGGACGATGGCTTGAACCATGTTAGCAGTGAGTGGGGTGGTGTCACTTGCAGCGGTGTGAGCCGTAGCAGAGGCAATGGCTTCAAGTTCGCGCCGTAAAATTCGGGTCACCTGATCCGATGAATCTAGAGGTGGTGGCTGTGTTCTTGCACGGTCTTCGCAAGATGATGTTGCAGCCGTATTCGGAAGGCGGGTAAACACGCTGTTAATCCGCCGGCTCTTCGCTTGCTCAAAGCGCCGACATTCTTTTATAATGGCGTCCACTGTAGAAAAATTTTTGCAGATGAGGAGGTTGAATGCGTCATCCGCAATCCCCTTAAGAATATGCCCGACCTTGTCAGCCTCCAGCATCTCGGCATTGGCTTTGCGACACAACGACAACACATCTTCTATATAGGAGACGTAAGACTCGGTCGAGGTCTGCGCCTGAGCCACGAGCATTTTGTTCGCGGCCATTTTTCTTCCAATCGGCTTTCCGAACAGGTACAGCATTTTCTCCCTGCACACTGCCCAACTCCCAAGTTCTGTTTCATGGTTCTCATACCACGATTTGGCGGTTCCCCTAAGATAGAATAACAGGTTTGCC